CTGAGAAATCGTGCTTCCTCAGCAATGTGCTCGGAGTAGTGCGGCTTTGTTCGTGTAAGCCATTTTTTCTCGTCGTTGTCGGAGCACCACTGTGGCAGAGCAGCAAGATGAACTGCAAACTGGTGGCCGTGCTGTTCGCACAGCCTGGCTTCGGACGTAGGCAGGAGCAAATCGTTCCGATCCACGATCTTGCGCATGCTGTCGAGGGCCTCAAGGCACTTCAATCTCAGCTTTCTGTATTTGTCACGGTTTCCCAACTCGTCCCTGGTATCTCCCTGGAAAGGAACATCCAAGGTCTTGCAACGTTTTTTCGAGCTGGTGCAGGCAGTTGGGATGTCTCCCAAAAGTAGGACCGAAGTGTGATCTGCCAAGGCAGGTTTGAAACTCAAAACATCCTTTGAATCGTGCTTTTGATGAGGCCCTGCATGTCCGTGCAGCACAAAGGGATAAAACAACTCTCGCCACTTCTTCTGAAATTTCAGAGGGTTGTCTTGAGGCCTGGGATCGTCGGCTTTTTGACTCTGCCCCAAAAATCTCGTATCTGGGACTCTGTCTGCGCCGAAGACAGCATCCAACATGCCATCCGCCTCGGCCAAGGCAGAGAACCAGTGGCGCGGCAGAAAGACGGATAAAGGTGCTCGAGTGCTGCTCCCGCCAGCCGTCCCTTTCCTGACCACAGCACAGTCCACTTCCACAGGCTCCGGAATCCAGTCAAGACCTCGAAACAACTGGAGCACATCTGAGATCTCGCCCATGCCCAGGAGGATATGAGCTTGTGCCCAGCAGAGCTTGACCGGAAAGCGAGTCTTCTGCACTAGGACCCTCATCATCGAGAGCTCGTCCTCTACGTCTCTGTTGGTGCCCCCCCCAACCCATCACCGGATTTGGCCCTTTCGGCCATGGCACCTACCCTACTTGCAAAAAGCCCAAAGCTTCGGCCGAACATCACGAAGCTTCATGCTAGCATGCCCTCAACACAAAAAACCGGAAGGCAACACCCTGTGCTGAGCTTCAAGACTGCGCATGCATCGCCGTGACGACATTTGTTTCGGTAACTTGCTCGCTGCTGCTATAGACTCCGCACGAACGACTCTTAATCGACAGCAGTGTTGCCTCTGCTTTACACTGGCTCAGCGCCGCAAGGAAAAACTGCAAGTTTCTAGAAATAGCCTCTTTCAAAGGAGGTCTCAGCAGTCCTCCAGGGACAAACCCTCACAGCAGGCCTTTGCAACCTTTGCCGACCGACGGACCAAAGCGACGATCCTCTTGTCGTCCAGCTTCTTCGAGTGGAAAAGCTTGAGCACTGCCTTCAAGTCTTTCAACTTTGACTGGGTCCGTTTCTTTTCCGTGCCTTCGGCCCTTAGAATTTTTTCCTCCACAAGAAACTGGACTTCGGTACAGGCTCCCTTCGCTCTTACGAGTGCTAGGGCTAGCTTCGACTTGTCCACCTGGCCCGCTACCATTCCTTCACAGTTCTCCAACTGTCGCAGCGCCTTGGAGTCGGCGGCGGAAGTTCCCGAACCGATTGCCCCGGCTTTCGCAAAACCAAAGTCGTCGAAGGTGTGCTCCTTCTTCCTGTTGCCGATCAGTGCCGTGAGGTGGTCTTCATCGTCGCTCTTCTCGTTCTTCTTCTTGGCCTCGTCCAGGGGGAGGTCGAACTTGAGCTCCTGCTTCTGGTTCTCCAGGTCGTGGAGAACCTTGAAGTCGTTCCATGTGCACTTCCCCAAGTGCTGGATGACCTTAGCCATCTCATTCTTGGCCTCCGTCGTCTCATAATCCGCAACGTCCAAGAATTCGGGGAATCTCTCGTCTGCGGGGCACTTGCGAACAGCAATGGTGCCTGCAAGCACCCTCGCCTTCAGCTCTCTGGGTACATACTTCATGTTGAGCATGAACTGAAGAGGCTGCCAAACCGCCTTGTGGCCCTTGACAGTCGTGGTGCTGAACTTCGCCATGTGGTCCTGGTAGGGTGCCGACTTGCTGTTGCAGCCGCCCACAATCCAGGAGATCAAGAGGCTCCTGGCCTTCTTCTTTGCACCAATGCCTCGGGTTGCCATGGCGTAGGCCTCCTGGTCGCCACAGCCTTTTTTGTCCGCCTCGAACTTCTTCCGCAGTCGCATCTGGTCTTTGTCGCCCAAATTGTGCATGTACTCCGAGACGTAGTTGGGGTCATTGTTCTCCAACTGTGCAAGGGCAACTTCGGTCAAGGCCTGGTTGTCCTGGGTCTTGCCGACCTTCTCCTCGGCTTTGTTCTCTGCCTTCGGCGGTTTTTCTCCCTTCTTGGGCTTCGTGGTAATTGGCTTCTCTCCCTTCTTCGGTTTCGTGGTGTTGGGCTTCTCTCCCTTCTTTGACTTGGTCGTGGTCTTGATGGCCTCCATGATGGAAGGCTTCTTCCACACAGCCGTCTTCGCCATGACTTGCAAAGGGCTGGAAAACTAAGGCAGTTACTCCTTCAAAACACAGAAGCTGCATACCAAATACTCGACACAATCTTTCCTGCATCTGATCCTCGATGTGATCCTCGACGTCCAAGCCAAGCTCATGTTCCGTTCCGTTGCGCGTTACGTTCTGGTTTTTGTTCGGGGGTCATATTTCGCCCGTCCTTCTGGAGATAGGAGAAACCCAAAGCTAAAACTGTTGGGAATTACGTACATGACTCATGTGACTGAATGAAACAATGAATACACCAAAACTTACTGTAACAAGCTGCAAATCATACTAGCAACATTGAAACTGCTGTAAAAACAGGTGGAAGTTTAATGAACATGTGTACAGAAATCATAACGACAGCCAAAAAAACATGGTCACCATCCAGCTTGATATGAAATGTATGGGTGACAACAGGGAAGCTATACTCTATGAAAATCATTTCGTCTTAGTGTGCTTGAGTAGGCCTGCTTTGCCCACAGTTTTGTCACACTCGTTCACTACTGTACTATGTCACGTCGGCAATGTTGACAACACATTTCTGCCTCGGCATTCCTTGGTGCTTTCTGCATTTGCATGCGCTCGACCCCCTGTTCGGTCTGCTTTCCCTCGTGCTTGACCATCTTGCTCAAGCAACATACAGGCTGGGTCTGATACAGACGCTTGACACAACATCCATAATTCACGGTTGATTCATGTTTGCTACACCCGCTACTTTTGCGACCACTTACAAAATATCAGCATAAACACAAAACCTGTGAAGGGGGATGGGAAGAAGACATGTGTGTGTGTACATATACTTATATCATATATCATATATATATATATATAACATATGTACACATATGCATACGTTTGTAAATATATGTAGAACAAACACACACACACACACACTCTCTCTCTCTCTCTATGTAATACATACATACACAAATACGCACACACACACATACATACATACATACATACATAATACATACATACATACATACATACATGCATACATACATACATACATACAACAAACATACAAACAAACAAGCAACCAAACATACAAACAAGCAAACATACATACATACATACATAAATACATACATACATACATACATACATACATACATACATACACATACATACACACATATATATATATATATATACATATGCATATGTATATACATACCGACACATTCATATAAGTATATATATATATACACACATAGTTAACATAGTTATGTGTATCTATGCGCGTATTATCATCTAATATGTATACGTTGCATGTGTGCCTCCGCGCTTGGCAGCGAGCACGTAGCAGTTCCCACAGCCCATGCCTATACATGTTCTGACTCTGAACCGCTTGCGAATTCCACTCGAGGCGCGGAGGCACGTCCTTTCGCAGCTGCCACTGCGTGGCCCTTTCGTTGAGCTGATGCTTCGCGACGGGCTCTGTCTCAATGGGCTTCGGCGGCTTATCCAAGTTGGCCAGATCGAAGAGAGGCCTCTTCGGCTGCCTCTCCTTGGCCTCTCTGCCCTCCTTTTCGGGCACTGCTGCAAGGGCCCCCTCGTGCGCGTCGGCTAAAGCACTGCTGGCCTTGCCACCTTTGCCACGGCCCGGCTTGGACCAACACTCCTCGAAGTAGGCGAACTGATTCGAGCCACCTGCACCGCAGAACTTCTGAAAGAGCTCGTCGAAAGCCACAACATCAGCTTTGCTTGTGGAGCCGCCTGGCGCAGCCAACACCTGCGATGCCTGCATGTCTCCCAGAGGTACCAAGGACTCGCCACCCACATTGGCGTGGCCGGTGGGACCCTTCCGAGACTCGGAAGATGGTGCCGTGCTCGATTCTACGGCACTGCAAACATCCTCATCTGGCGGACCAAAGTCGGGCATTTCCGCAGCTTCGGGCTCGAAGGCGTTCCTGGGGTCAGCGAAATTAAGGCAATACAGCCAGTAGGAATGAAAAGAACATGGTTATGGGAGCCTGTTGGTAGAAGCTGCTAGAACCAGTAGGAGTGGCAATCGCAACCGCAAGAGCAACGCAAGAAACAGTCTCTGTAAGAGTTAACACAGATCGGCTTAAGAGCGAACGTTTCTAAAAAGGCCTAGGCTTCGCCGGCGGTGGCTGCGAGCAGGCCGCCAAGGCCTCTGACGTTCCAGGCCCTGCGAGAACCGCGACGCCCAGCAACTCTTCCAATGCTTTCCTGTCGTCTGATTGGCTGGCGGGTGTGTGTATGTGTATGTGTGTGTGTGTGTGTGTGCATACGCGTGTGACCCTCTGTGTCTGTGCACCTTCGTGTCTGGTGTCCGTCTGTCTCTGTGAAGTTTTTTCTTTGTTAATTGGCTTGCTGTCCTTTTCGTTTGTGTGTTGCGTGAGAGAGTGCCGCATTCGCGTGCATTAGTCTCTGGGTTACGGCTTGCGCTCGGATGTTTCAGACACGTAGGACGACAATGGAACAGGCATCAGCTGCAAACAACGAACCCTATTCTCAGACTCAAGGCGTAGCTTTAAGCATTGAAGGTCAGTGCTCTGCATGATTTGCGTTGACAAACGATAAGCTTCCGTCAGGTCGCCCACCGTGGCGCAAGCTGAGAATAGCACAAGCCGTTACGAAGTGTGGGGATGGTGCATATATTTCATGATGGCAGGGATGAAGTTGGCAACAGCTGTGACGACAGAGATCCTGTTCATGATGATGGCATAAAGCATGATGACTCCAATGATGACCATGATTCTGATGATCTTGGTCTTGCTAAATGCTGGTGATGACCGAGATGGCCGGATCAAAAGTTGAGGGTGATGCCGACGACCACCACCCCGAGGCTGTTAGTCACGATGGTGGTGGACAAAGTGATTCACATGCTTGGTAATGCACAGGCACAACCGTTGTAATTGTAAACAACATTCGACTGGGCATGTCAGTTTCCACTCATATTCTGGCCTTGCTTCTGCAAGCTTTTGTAGTACGTACCTTACATAAGATCATCGGGGCAGGGCGGGTGTCCTCGCGAGGCATCACCACTGCATTTATCAAGTGGGCCACCACCGAGAAGTGATTACCGAGTACGGCCTTCAGCATCACAGAATGCGGGTAATCTGGGCAATACGCATATGTGGGCAACATGGCTGTAAAGTTGAACCAAGCGGTCTTGAAGTTGATGATAGCGAGGTGGCGATGGAAGGAATCAGTGAAGCGATAGACCGTCTCATTGCGACGATGACGACTGGGAGAACATGTCGCGATTGCGAATGTTCTGACATAATGAACTCGATGCTACTGCTACCGATTGTGATGATCATGACAACATGTGCGCTGACATCGCTTTCAAGTTTCTACATCTTCCTCGTCAGACCCAACACAAGCCCAGCTGATTGCTGCAACAATCGTAATCAGACTTTGGCGTCAGGTTGTAAGGCTCGTACCCTATACTTAGACTGCAAATTCTGCCTACGCACTTGCTTTTCTCTTGCCCATGCTGCGGGCTGACGTGAGTTTTCAGCTCTTGAGGATAAACGCTGGTCTTTGTAGCTGGTAGCGCATTTGAGAGCAAACAATGCTTTGCATGAAGTTCTTAAAATCAATTATCGATTGAGACTCCCAGAGTGAAGAACGAAGTATGCAGCCCGAACCAAAAAATCCCCGAGGTAAAACACCCCAGAGCAGCAAACCTCCATTGTGCCAAGTTTCGGCATTGTGAAGGAACTTTCTCCCCAAAGCTGGCGCCGAAAGCTGTCCAATTCAGGGCAGAGCCTCGACAATTGTGGAAATGTGGCTTTCGGCTCGGCCTGGCCTGGTGAGTGGTGAAACCCAACGTCTTCAGGAGTGACACTGAAGCTTGGGCTCTTGACAGCTGCTGCGGCGGCATGCACTGCCCCTTCTTTACTGCTGTGGATACACTGATAGTTTTGATACTGACACCTCCCCTTTGTTTTTATGTGCTTATCTTCGTCACTGCAAATACGACGGCTTCTGACTCAGTCGATTAGCTTCGTCGCTTTACGTTCTCCTGACATATTACGGTCCTCAAATTCCCGTCTCACTTTGGACCTGGATTGTTCGATCTTGGCTGCAGCCGAAGCTGGCTCTCCGAGGCCAACAGAACCCGCCGGGAAGGAACGCCCGTCCTGCAAAGAGGCTGCTTCAAATGATGAAACGGCACGGAACGGAAACTTGGAACGGCGATGACGATGGTACCAGAGACTGCTGCGGTTTTTGCTGCTGATGTTGCTGCTGATGATGTTGTGGTTGTTTTGTTGCTGTCGTTGTTGTACTTGCCTTGTTTGATGTTTGCTGTGTGTGTGTGTGTTTTAATGCTGTTGTTGTTGTTGTTGCTGCTGCTGCGGTTGTTGCTGTTGTTGTTGTTGTTGTTGTTGTTGGTGTTGTTGTTGGTGTTATTGCTATTGCTATTGCGATTGCGAATGCCATTGCTGTTCGTGTTGCTGTTGAAATTGTTATTGCTATTGCTATTGCTGTTGCTGTTGTTGTTGTTGTAGCTGTTGATGTTTGTGTCGTTGCTGTTGTTGTTGTTCTTGTTCGTGCTATTGATGTTGCTGCTGTTGGTGTTGTTGCTGTTGTTGGCAGCTGTTGTGTCTGCCGCCGCGGAGCGTGGAACGGTTTCAACTTCAGGGCTGCAATGTGCTAAAACTCGAATTTTGGGACATGGCTGTCTGGACAAAAATCTGCGCTTTGCATTTCGTATCGATTTTTGACCGTGCTTTCCTGAAAAAAACATGTTCGATTTCAGGGCTGCGCTGTGCCTAATCTCGATTTAAGTATTTACATTTATCCGTGGTTTCAGCGTTTCCGTTTTTTGTATGCAAGTCGGCTGCTGTTTTGTCTGGACTTGCTGTGTCTGTGATTCTTGTTGCTTCCGTGCAAGGGCGGGGAGGGGTTGGATGAGAGGGGGGGTGCTAACGTCCCTGCGAATGCGGCTTGCATCTGGTGTTTCCTTTTTTGCTCCGTGCAGGGGTGGTTTTGCGGAAGCGTCGTAAATACCATCGCCAGCTCCAAATTTAAAGTTGCACCAATAAAACAGGTTGCCTTGACCGTGATGGCGATGGTGATGATGATGATGATGCTGTTGCTGATGATCATGATGTTGATGCTCCTGATTACGATGATGTTGGTAAGTATGATGATTATGATGATAGTGATGTTGATGCAGTTGCTTGTTCATGCAGAGGGTAACGACGGCGATGAAAATAGCCATGAAGATAACAGTGATAATGACAATGTTTCTCACTCTTGTTGCTTTCTTGTTACTTGCCCCACGCTCCCACTACAAAACTCTCGCGTTTTGTGGGCTTTGCAAGCAAAGCCGTAAACATGAACGCAAAAATGACGACATTTTCGCAAACAACAACACGAACACCAAATAACAACAACACGGAAACTCCAGGGGGAACAAAACTCCAGGTTTTGAAGCTTCTGAAAAATATCAACCAAAATAAGCAAGGACACACCCTCCGCGGTGGCAGACGCAACAGCTACCTTGTTATTGTCGTTGTTGCTGCTTCTGCCGTGGGCGGCGGTGGTGGTGTTTGTGGCGGTGCTGCTGTTGGTGGTGGTGGTACTGTTGTCGTTGGTGTTGCTGTTGTTGCTGTCGTTGCTGTCGGTACTATAGTTACTGCTACTGCTGTTGCTGCTGCTGCTGCTGCTGCTGCTGTTGCTGCTGCCGCTGCCGCTGCCGCTGCCGCTGCCGCTGCCGCTGCCGCTGCCGCTGCCGCTGCCGCTGCCGCTGCTGCTGCTGCTCTTGCTGCCGCTGCTGTTGCTGTTGCTGGTGTTGAAGTCCCACGGCCCAAGGCAAAGTGCCCTGTTCTGTGCGGTGTTGTGGTTTGGTCGCTTCCTTTGACCTTATGGATCTCCTCGAGGAGGAGGAGGAGCAGATTGAATGTACACCTCTTGATGCCACTCGTCATGGGGATCTTCCTCCAGGCGCTGCAATGCCCAAAGACCCTCCGCCTCCACGACCAGTTAACTTGCCTGTCGGAACCTCCAGCACCGGTATGGGCGCCTTTGTCAAATGGGGCGAACGATGAGCTCAGGGACTGGGCAAGAGATCGCAGCCTTGGCCCACAGCCGGTACGGCGAAGGACCGCTGCTTCAGAATAGGATTTTTGAGGGTCGTCCAGGAGCCCTGAGTTTCGCAGCACCACATGAATGGCAGAGACAGCGATCACGGCGAGCAGCGAGATGAGAATCTCGGATCCACAGGATCGCCTTATCGCTCCCGAAGCCTGCGCTTTCAGAGGCCAGTCCATCCGCACCTACTCGGTCCCTACCTTAAATACCTGAAGCCCGTCAGGTATAGCAGACACCTGCCCAGAGCCAGCGGATACCTGGAACATGCGGTCCATGCCTGCGGCGCCGCGTCACGCAGAGTAAACAGGAATTTTAAATCGCCCAAGCAAAGAAGCTCCAAATCAAAAAGCCTAGTAATCAGCACATCCCAGTAAGTGGCCGACCCGGTCCCGATTCCAGATTCTATCTCTCGTGCCTCAGGTTGCGACCAGGCAGAGAATGTCGGGTAAACAGGCCAAACTGGCCCGGCCCGCTTGAAGCTTTCCCTGTAGGCTCTGGAAGACTATCGGGCCATTACCCACTCTTTGCCGTTATGCAGACAATGCCGTTCTTCAGCCATCAGCGCAAGAAATTGCAGTGCACTAGTACCGTACTTGCTTGTCCAAACACAAAGGATGCCCTACCTGCGGTCATACTTTACGGTTGCATTTATGCTCGTTCTTCGGAGAAAAAAGGGACCAAAAGTTGATCCAGAACATTGTACCCGCGTACGCCGACGACTGTTGGGGAGCATGGGTGATAAGATGCCGCAAAGACCTTGAACAGGCTAGGCTTGACCTGGAATTTGGAACTTATCTGGGGAAACGCTGGGAACGGTGAAAAATGACCATAAACTGAAAAAACTGCCGCACTATTTCACTTGATCGGCAAGGAAGCTGCAGCAATCAAGCATGAAGTCACCTACCGCAAGGTTGGCGTCTTGCATCTCCGAGTTGCTGTACATGGTCGTGATTGTGGGGAAAGCAATGTGGGGAAAGCAAGAACATGAGTACTTGGGGTCTATAGTCTCTTATCATCGAAGGCTTGACGAGAACTTAACACACCGCCTCAAGGCCGGTCAGGCCACATATCACGGTCTCGGCAAGACCTTGAATGGCTCGCATCACTTGAGCCAAGCACACCGGATCAGGCTTTGGCAGGCATGTGTTTGCACCAGCGCCTTGCGTTCCCTTGCCGGTAGCGGGTCTCTCAGAGCATAGAGCTCGGCTGCGTCACACCGCCAGTACCTCACCGGATATTACGGTTTCCACTTCCGTCTTGCAACACTTGAGGCTGTCTCTGACACACCGGAGACCATCTTGAAGCAGGAAGCCAGGTTTCTCAAGGATGCGGTAGCAACACCGCCGGTGATTATAGTTCCCCGCGTTGCACTGACATGTTATTATAATGAGCGAAAACGCGACGAGAATACATCGCAAACTTGTTCATAAAAACCTTGCCGGCGCATGCCACCAGAACTCCCACTGTGTTCCAATCTTTTTCTCATGAATGCCACAGTTAGATTGCGCGCCAGACAATTCTACAGATGGAGGCACTGTAGACAGCATATCGAAAGCGGGGCCGGCCCCCACGACCTACGCGGAGATAGCTTTTTTCGATCCCTGTATGATGAAGCTCAGGCCCAGGGGTCGATCGCTGCACCACTCACAGCTCAAGATGCGGTTTTTGGGGGTGAAAATGTGGAGCACCTCGACAGAATCCAACATTTCAGCTCAACGCCGGGACTTCAGAAGGCTGAGACCATGACAGCCCCCACATCCACAGATCATCTGACTGTACGAGGCTTTCTCGACCGTTTCCGCAAAAGCGGCAACACATCTGATGAGAGTGTCGATCGAGAAAGACAGTCTTCATCAGCCCAAGCTGGCTAAGTTGGTGGGAATCACCTATCCACGTCGATGAACGAGGACCTGACACACATCCATAATGAGAATAAACTTCCCCTAACATAAGCCTAGCAAACAGTTGGAGAACGGCGATAGCTTCCGAAGGTCTTGTGGGAAGGATCAAGGACGGCACACAGAGCTGTTCGCATGTTGGGGTTCGGACTCTTGGGGTGGTCGGAGCCTTATCGACAGCACGAGGTAGCAGAGTTCATCGATCACATGCATCCTAAGTTAGACAAGCAAGCGCTGCATGGTTCTTGGGAGTCGCGCAGTGTTGGTGGCAACGGGATAGGAATCATTACGCAGTCTTTAGTCACAAAGTGTGTTCCTTTGTCACTGCCGAATCAGGTGGGATCCGCCGACCAGTTGGATCTGCAAAGTTTGACCAATGGCTGGGTCAAACAACGACAGCCTTACCTCACCCCTCAGATTCTGCGTATCCCGGTGTTCACAACGGCCGACAACCTTGATGTAGTCTGGCAGGCTTACCAACTGTGGGGACGCATATAACACCATGGCTCAGTGTCCACAGCGGGCCACTACACAGCAGTCCTGGACTCGGCAGGTGTGTACTGCAAGCATGACGATGGAAAAGAACCGCAATCGCTTGATTCTACAGGCCTTGAACATGTCAGCACAACCATGTATGTCATTTTCCTGACGAACATCTCAGCTGATCGAGCCATAGATGTGACTGTCGGCACGGAGCCCACGTTACGGAATGTCGAAGGCACAGCGCAAGAACACTTCCGTGCCCTTCCTTATCGAAGCAGACCTCAACTGTGTGGCGAGCCAAAGCTGACATGTTCTTGCAACGAGTTCAGCTGGAAGCACTGGCAGAGGCACTGGAGACGATCCAACAGACATTGACTCGGCTCTCTGACAGAGTTACCATCCTCGAGGATCGATTGGCAATAGCACGCAAGACCTGGCTGTTGTTGACAATGACACGTATCTGGGAACGGCGAAATGTGATAACTTTAGCGTAAAAGTGTTTTCCTTTCGCGGCTACTTTAGCGGAGCTTTCGCG